GGGCAAGAGATGGTGCTGGTGAAGAATACTGAAAATTAACATGGGCTGCCAAAAGAACCAACAAGTCTGTCCTGGAAAAAGCACGGCCAAAATGCTCTTTAGTAGCAACATGCTATGGACATGTTACGCAGAGAGAATTGACCCTGGAAAAGAGCATCATGCCTGGTAAAGGAGGGACAGAGAAAAGAGAAAAAAAAGAAAAGACCTCAAAGGATGACTTGACCCAGTAGCTTCCACAATGGGCTCAAATATGACAACTGTGAGGATAGCTCAGGACTGGGCAGTGTTTCAGCCCATGGTGACCCAGGCCTCATACTTTAGGCCACCTAGACTTTATAGATCTTGTCCTCTCAAGACATACAACCTACTACATAGACCATATCAGCAATGAAAGAAAGAAAGGCTAGAGTCTAGAATACAATTCAGCCCACAGTAGGTGATCTTTGAATGCCAACACATTTTATACCTGATAATAAGACTTTACCACTGAAAGCAATGAAATTATTTCCAATAATTTCATAAATGCTTTAAAGATCATAAGATATACGATCACACTATTATGTAAGACACAGGAATGTATCATAATAAAGGGCAATCGAAAGTGGAATTCTATAATTTGAACAATCATGAAAATGGGATAAATTTATTAGGGCCAGCGAGAATTTATGCAACCAAGAAACAAGTGTGTATGATAAAAGACCAAGGCCAGGTTTCTGGAATAACCAAAAAACAAATCTACTGCCATAGAGTTAAATCTGACTCAAGTGCCCCAGTATTGCCCAGTATTGCTGAGGCTGTAATATTCATATAAGCAAATAGATTTATCTTTCTCCCATGAAGGGCTTGCTAGATTTAAACCAGTAACCTAGCAATTAACAGTCCAACGCTTACCCGAGAGCACCACCAGGGCTCCTGCAATCCGATCACTGAAATTAGGACGTACATTTTATTCCAACACAAGAAGGTGAAAGGGAGAGGGGGGGAAGGAGGCAAGAGAAAAGCGGGGCAGGAAGAAGATGGCACGAGAGGAGTGGGGCACTAACCCATCCAGGGGGAGAATATTGTTTATGTCTCCACAGAATTGGGAGTGTGCAATGCAGACCCCACCACGGTGCACCAAATATTCAGGGCAACGTAACCATGAGGAGAAATGTATGAAAAGATTGGGCTACAGGGTCTGCCCCAATCAGAGCCAAACTGACCCCCTCCCTAGGCATATGCGCTACAGAGGACAGCACTAAACCTACAGGTTGGGGAGAGGGGCTGGCCTGCCAGGCCCACACAGAGGCAACCCAAGAAGGAAAAAGAGAACGGAACGGTCTAGACCCCATAACGGCACACCAAGCCTGGAGGACAGCATCCCGCATGGAGCTGCCAAGGCACAGAAAGGACTGTAGGGCCGACAACAGCTCAAGACACGATGTCCCCTCACTGAAGCATACTGCGACAGAGGACAAAACTGGGGGACACACGGCAGGGAGTGAGCCCAGTCTGAATCCCCCCACAGCTGGGCAAACCAAGGACATAACAGAACAGCAACGGGAGCAAAGAAAAGACACAAAGCCCCTGAAGAGTCCCAAAAACAGGCTTCAGGCTTGGAGGGGGAGCTCCCGGAATCCCCCCAGGAATAGTGGGGAGACAGTCATTAAGGTTAGCAGACAGACCTGGAATTACGTATGGTTTTTTTCCTTTTTTCTTTTTTCAAACTTTCGTTTTCTTTTGGCTCAGTCTCTGTTATTGTTGGGTCACCTACTTATATAAGATGGGCGTGGGAAGCAAGCTTGCGGAGAAAGCAACAGGGCCAACAGTCTTGGAGGGACTGGGAGGAGAAATCGGGGAGAAGGGAGTGGTTGAGCAAACAACAACATAGACAGGGAGAAACTAGGGATTTAAAGTCAACAACAACAAGGACAGAGAGATCCTGGAGGTGTTGGAGCAACAGCAATCTAGTTGAGATGAATTACTAGAGGCAGAAGTAGGGCGAGCATGATGGTGGGGCAGGAGGAAGTTGAAAGGAAACAGAGGGATGATCTAGGAAGCAATGATATAGATAGAGGTATAGCATAGGCGTGTGCATATGTTAATACATTAATTCATAAAAATAGAGGTATTGGCCCATGTACATATATCTATATGGCAATACACTGAGTCTATGGATGGGTTTGGGCCTTGGCTCATGTCCTCCCTCAATGCAAGAACACTGTTCTAACAACCTGGTATTCTGTGATGCTCACCCTCCTGGCACAATTGCTGAAGACAAAATGGGTGCATAAGCAAATGTGGTGAAGAAAGTGGATGGTGGCCAGCTATCAAAGGATATAGCATCTGGGGTCTTAAAGGTTTGAAGTGAAACAAGTGTTCACAAGCCCACATGAAAAAATCACACCAGCCTGTGTGATCATGAGGTGTCACTGGGACCGGGTAACAGGATTCAGAAGACCCAAAACAAACAAACAAAAACATAGTGTTGAGGATGAGCAGAGACCTAAAGCCCATCTGTCAACGTTGGGGCATCCCCTCACAGAAGAGTCACAAGGAAGGGATGAGTCAATCAGGGTGCAGTAAAGCACCATTGAAACACACAATACTCCTCTGGTTCTTCTAGGCTTCCTCACCCCCCACTATCAGGACCCCAATACTGCCTTGCACTGTGGGCTGGACTTGAGCATGTACACAGGTACAGATAAGGCATAAGAGCTCATGACACACGGAATCCAGGAACAGGAATGGGAGTAGCGATAGGAGGGGCCAGGAGGAAGTGGGGAGAGGAGGGGAGGAATGGGAAACCAATCACAATGATCGACACATACCTGTACCCCCCCACACCAGGGGGGTGAACACCAGAAACCATGGGGGAAGGGAGACAGTGGTCGGTGTAAGATATGAAAATGATAATAATTTATCATTTATCAAGGGACCACGAAGGGGAGGAGGGAGGAGCTGACCTCAAGGGCTCAATAGAAAATAGATGTCTAGAAAATAATGATGGCAACATATGTACAAATGGGCTTGATACAATTGATGTATAGATTGTTACAGGAGCTGTAAGAGCCCTCAATAAAATGTTTAAATAAATAACACTCCCCCTACCCCCCAAAAAGACATTGTAGTTCAGAAAAATGAAAACTTTACAGTTTAAAGGCTATTAAACAAAAGGAGGAAGGTGTTGATTAAGTCAATCTCAGGCAGAACTCGTAGGACTGCTGTTTTATACTGAAAGCATGAAGAAACATGAGCAGAGATGTAGCTGCCACTACGTTTATTTACATGCCTTTTCATCTATGATTACAGACCTAGCTTTTGTTACAGTAGTAAACACATATATTGTCATGGAGAAATTCAGACAAGTGTTCAATGATTTTACCTCTGTCTTGTTAAGCATGAGATAATATCCATACATTACTTGGATTAAAATTTTTCATTACCCACATGCAAATTTATAGCTTCAAGTTTTGGCTTGAAGCAATTGAAAAATATTAATTTCAGATCACTTAATTGAGCTCATGCAGACCTGTATACCAAGAGTCAGTTGTTCTAAGAGAATAAGGGGATATTAAGGGATTTAAGATCAGAAAAAGTGGGCATCAGGGTTGTATTCTTTAACCATACTCAATATGTATGCTGAGTAAATAATTAAAGAATATGGATTATATAAAGAAGGACACAGCATTAGGATTGGAGGAAGATTCATTAATAACCTTGGATACGAAGATGACCCAAACTTTCTTACTGATAGCAAAGAGGATTTGTAGCATTTCCTGATGAAGATCAAAGTATAGATTACATCTCAACATCAAGAAAGCAAAAATCCTCATAATTGAAATCATAAGCAAGGTTGCAATACATGTATAAAAGATTGAAATTGTTAAGAATTTAATTTTACTTAGATCTACAATTAACTCCCATGGAAACGGCAATCAGAGAACTAAACAATGTATTGCATTGGGGCAAATGTGCTGCAAAAATTCTGACATGTTAAAAAGCAAAGATTTCTTTACTTTGAAGACTAAGGTGCACTTCATGTAAGCCAAAGAATTTTCAATCACTCATATTCAAGTGAATAAAGGCAACTGAAGAAGAGATGATGCCTTTAAGTTATGATGTTGGTGAAGAACATTAAATGTACCATGAAGTGCCAAAACACAAACAATTCTGTGTTGGGAGAAACACAGCCATAACCATGGATAAAAGGATATTGTCAGGTACTTGGGACGTGTCATGAGGAGGAACCACTCTCTGGAGAAATGAATTATGCTTGGTAAAGGTCGGCAAAAGAGGGGAGGACCCTCCACAAGTGGAGTGACAATAGTAGCTGTAACAGTGGGCTCCAGCTTAGCAAGGATGATGCAGACTTGGGCAATATTTCATTTGGTTGTTCTGCGATGTTGTCAACAGTGCTTGACAACAGCAAACTCATGGAAATACTCTAATTTTACCCTCAAAGGTCAAACGTTCTCTAAATAGAAAAAAAATTCAACTCTCTAATAATTAATTTAATTCAAGAATTTTAAGATCTAGGAAAGTTCTATAGTAATGGTATGAGAAACAAAGATCCTAAAGTTTCAAACAACTATAGTGATTTTTAGCAAATAAATGCCATATTTACATTTCATGGGGAATTTTCCTAAATGGCAGAAGGAAGGTAACACATATCAAAAAACCTAAACTCATTGCCATCAAGTCAATTCTGAATCAGAGACACCCCATAGGGCAGTATAGACCTGTCCCTCGGGGATTTTGAGACTGTAACACTATGGGAAAGCCTCATCTTTCTCCGGTGGAGTGGCTGGTGGTTTCGAACTGCTAACCTTTGGTTAACAGTCAAATACAAATACATAGCCAACTACACCACTAGAGCGCTTCAATAGCATGCATATATTCATATAATTCAATTTTACTTTATTCTATAACTATAAAGGTAACACGCTAAGATGAACAAATATTTGATGAGACGCGCACTTTTTGAATTAAAAGTAGAAGAAAATAGCTAATGAACTTGCCTTGCTAAAGAAAATGGACACCATGAAGAAATCCAGCAGGAAACTCTCTGAAATCTCTTTGTAGTCAAAGTGGAAAAAGACGACCGTAAAACTCAAGGTGACAAACTGATGAACTGGATTACAGAAAGAAGTTCGTAGCAGCTTCATGCCAGCAGTGATCATCAGAAAAATATCCCAACTGTGGAACAAGGAAGAAAAGAAACAATCAGTGATTTATTTTGTGCAAAACACAAGGAGTTAACACGTCTTAAGCATTTACTGTGAATGATCTCTCTGACAGGCACAAGGAACCCTGGCGGTATAGTGTTGGGCGCACTTTGAAACCACCAACTGCTTCTTTGGAGAAAGATTAGGCTTCCTACTTCCATAAAGGGTTACAGTATTGGAAACACCCAGGGGAAGTTCTACCCAGTGCTGGTAGGTTGCTATGGGCTTAGCATCAACTAGATGGCAGTGAAAAGTCTATATTTTTTGATAGAGAAAATAGAATCTCGGTGAGTTTAAGGAACCTGTCAAAAGTCCCACAAGCATGGAACTAGGCTTGGTTAACTCAAGAGCTCACTGTCTTTACTGCAGACATCTCCCTTCCCACCATGCACTTTTCATACTGTCGTGTGTTGCTCAACAAAGAAATTGAGGTGGTTTTGTTTATTTTGGGGTGACATTGAGTCAGAATTGGCCCATAGCCACCCTATGCCCAAAAGAATGAAGCATTTGCAGTCCTGTGCGATCTTCACAATTGTTGGTGTGCTTGGCGTGAGCTTGATTTGAAGCAGTTCGGCAGTAAGGAAAGTCTGGTGCCATATGAGTCAGCAGATCAGAACTGTGTGGTCAGTATAGGCCTTCTCACCTCGAAAGAATCTTATTAAAACATAAATATGGTGAATAAATATTAAATTATGAAAAGAGAAAAATCAGTATCCTAATGCAAACATTAAAAACAATTAATTTTCCAAAAACATCAAGATACTACAAACCATTTTTTCAGATCAAATGCTATAAAATTAAAAATCAATCGTAGGATGATCAGCCCCCATAAGTCAATTACATGAAATTGAACATTTTATTCAAAAATCACTGGATAATTGAAGGAATACAGAACATAATAAAGGTTTCTTGGGGGCATGGCAGGAGAGGTTGGGTGAAAATGGGGAGCTAATAGCAACAAGTGCAAGAAAGAAGAAAATTTTCTAAAATTGTTGTGGTTCTGATTAGACAACTCTTCTTCATATGAATGAACTATGTCATTTCATGATATGTAGATTATGTGCCAATAAAACTGCTTAAAATTGTTCTTGAAATGAGAATGAATATACCACATGGCAAAAGCAGTGCACAGATGGCAGCTTATTGCAGTAGGTGCACATATCAAAATGGAAGAAAGAATTAAGACAAACACTTTAGCACATCAACTACAACAATTGTAACAAGATCAATAAAATAAACACTCAAGCACCAGAACAAATCACCGAGATTAGAGCAGTTATAAAGGAACCAGCAATTTTTAAAAAAACTATGGAAAAAAATCAATAACACAAGATGCTGGTTCTTCAATATGATTAACCAATAGATAAACCACTGGCAAACCTAACAAAGGAAAAGAAGGATCAAAAGTAGTATTAGGAATAATAAATGAGATAGGTGACATCACAACAAAACCAACTGAATGTTTTTTTAATCACACAGCATTATGAGGAACTACATTTCAACAAACTTGAAAATCCAAAAGAGTGGATGCAGTTTTTAATCACTTTAGTGGGGGCTCAAACATCTCATCACAATCCATACATCCATCCATTGTGTCAAGCACATTTGTACATTTGTTGCTATCATCATTCTCAAAACATTTGCTTTCTAAGTGAGCAACTCTTATCACAATCCATCCATCCATCCATTGTGTCAAGCACATTTGTACATTTGTTGCTATCATCATTCTCAAAACATTTGCTTTCTAAGTGAGCCCTTAGTATCAGCTCTTTATTTTTTCCCTTCCCTCCCTGCTCTTCCCTCCCTCATGAATCCTTGATAATTTATAATTATTATTTTGTCGTATCCTACACTGTCTGATGTCTCCCTTCACCCACTTTTTTGTTGTCTGTCCCCCAGGGAAGAGGTTATATGTAGATCCTTGTAATCGGTTCCCCTTTCAACCCCACCTGCCCTCCACCCTCCAAGTATTGCCACTCTCACCACTGGTCCTGAAGGGATCATCTGTCCTGGATTCCCTTTGCTACCAGTTCCTATCTGTACCAATGTACATGCTCTGGTCTAGCTGGATTTGTAAAGTAGAATTGGGATCATGATAGTGGGGAGGGGGAGCATTTAAGAAAGTTTTATGTTGTATGTTTCATCATTGCTACACTGCACCCTGACTGGCTCATCTCCTCCCTGCCTACAGATGAGCTTTAGGTCCACAATCTGCACTCCCCCTCATTCACAATGATATGATTTTTTTGTTCCTTGATGCCTGGTACCTGATCCCTTCGACACCTCGTGATCACACAGGCTGGTGTGCTTCTTCCATGTGGGCTTTGATGTATGTATGGATTGTGATAAGAGTTGTATGAGCCC